TTTTTTTTTTCTGTTTTTCCTTTGCAGTTTTCTGAGGACAGGACCAGGAGCTGCTGGCATGTTTCAGCATGAATCACTGTGTGAGAAACACTTTCCATTGTCAAAACGCAGCACACCGAACAATCGTTACCTTCAATAGGTGTAAAAGACAGTCAGCAGCTCCTGGAATCCAGCCTCTCACTGCAGGGAGGGATCTCACTGCTGACTTAGAACAATAAATTGAATAAATTGAAATGGCAGCACCATCCCTGATGCTTTAGTCTGGTTATAGAGAGGTACACATAGATTAAAGGGTTCAGCAATTCTTTTGAATATGAGAATTGCCATATAAGGTGAAGTCAGTGATAAATCTGTTTCATTTTCTATGAGCATTCAGATAAGAGCTTCAAGGAATAGTATAAACATTTCAGGTTATGGATAGCTTTGGCAGAACTTCTCCTTTGAAAGCCTGTTACTTTTTACATTCCATGTGAAGTTTGAAAGGTTGGACTCTAAGACTGGTATTAGAGCAAAAACTGAGCAATAATCAGGCTGAAAAAAATCCAGGCACATTTGTACAAGGATTTCTTGTGCAGCTTCTGCTGAACAAAAAGGGACTTCTATAAATGAAAAATGTGCAACATGGACTTTTTTTTTTCCCCCTCCAAGAATACAAAAAAAAAGTGGTTCTGGTCTCACTTATAATTTTAAACAAAATCAGATTGACCATCGTTATGCTTTTGCTAGCATAAACTTTGTTTCTTGTATGACTAAACTCCCAATAGGCAAACACCATCTGCCTGTTGAAGGAAAAGAAGTCACCACTGAGACAATGTCTAACTCATTAAGAGATGAGAAATATCTAATCTACTGGAAAAGCTATGTAGCAATATCCTTAGAATCTCTGACTCCACATTCAGTGCATTTATTTGTTAAAGTTCCTCCTTTGATATTGAAGAAATTTTGCCCTGTTAAAACTGAAGAATTCTCAAGCACAAACTTTTCTCCAGAGCCAAATTCAGATCAGGTGTCACTGCATGAAATTTTACTGACTTCCTTGAAACAGTATGTGGTCCTGGAAAATTATCTTACAGCTGAGAACACAGAAGTTCAGATTGTGATAGAGCAATGTAAACAGTAGTGTCACATCACTTTACCCTTGCAGGAATAATGAGTATTGTTTACTGCTGTGAAATGTTTCTGAAGTGATATTTCTCCTCAATAGGAACTAAGAAAAAGCTGTGACTGCCTTTTCAGGCATTTAAATTTCAGCAAGTTCTAAAAGACACCTTCATTTTGGATTTTATTCATGTAAATATAAACATACACTTCTTAAAAAGCTATTTTATCGGAAATAATAGTTGTGTATCCTTTGTTTAGTAAAGTACTGTCATTTTGGAAGTTAGCCCCTTTTTTCATCCTGGCATTATATTGACATTTTATAAATGAGCGAAAAAGAAATGAATGGCACACAAAGGAGTTAACTACTTTAAAGTACGTGTAAAAAGTGTGTTTCTTTTTCAGAACACAGCTGCTTTCTAGCGAGCCTGCAGTCATTTCAGCAGCCAGGGAAGGTGGCTGGAGTGAGGTCCGTGGGTGTGGAGCCATGGCCTGGGGAGGGGGAGCAGCAGCAGGGCTCCTACAGAAGAGCTGTCCAGCACCAGCTCTGGTGCCTTCTCTTCAGCATCTGGTGAAGCACCACACTGGCCACCCTTGGGAAATCTTAGCTATAATTGGAGTGTGTCTGATTTTGAGTCTCATCAGAGAAGTAGAACCTTTCTTGAAGCACTGGCTGTGCAACGTCTGTAAAGCAATTTCTCCTTGACAGCCGTGAGTGGGTACACAGCTTAGCCACTCAGCCATCTCCTCAGACTGATTTACAGCCTTTGTGATGTGATATTTTCCTAACGTTGTGTGGTAGTGTGGGTCCATGAAAGAAAACAATCTGCTAGCAGAACACGGTGTTGTTATAGGTGGATACCTCTGATTCATGATGCTGGAGCAAATGAGTGCTTTAGTCCAACCCCACTGTTAGTTGCCAGTGTGAATGTACATTCATCTTGCAGTTTCTGAGCCAGTATTGCCAGCAGAAACTGAGATGTCTATTTGACCATTAAAACTGAGAGCAAAATTGCAGAGGACTACCTGGAAGTAGGAAACCAAAGCATGCCGTGATATGTGCAATTACGAAACACTTTCCAGAGATGTCCATGGCAACTAAAAGTCATAACTTTATGGGATAACAAAAATCTCAATAGAGATCTCAATGGAAATACTGGCTTTATGGCAAATAGTAATTCCTCTCCCCTCTTCTCACCTAAGCTTTTGGAGTTCCACAGGCTATAAATTACTGATCTCTTTCTTTCCATTAGAAGATAAGCACCTTATCACCTTTCCTCTTTTTAACATCCTTATCACTCCATGGGCAGTAAACATCTTCACTCTCAGGTGGTCTAATTGATACATATCTAATTAAAGGCAAAGCATTTTTTTCTCAACTTGCATTCGGCTTTGAAGTATGTTGCTTTGATTTAGACCTGAAGAGCAGCTTCATGTGCCTGAAAGGTCTCCCTTTTCCAGCTGTACTAGTTGATCAAATAAAATATACTACCCCTGCCCACAAACATTGTCTCACCTGTGTACCAATGCATTCATTCATTGTAAGTGAAAAAGAGAAGACAGTTTTTCACAGAACTAGTTAAAAGGCATGTGTGAGGTCTTGAAGATTAGGACAAAATGTTCAAATATGATGAGATGGAGAAAAAAAAGATTCAGCAGAGACTAAGGTACATAACTGGATTAGCAAGAAAAATCATTTTAGGACTTATCTCTCAAATGGGGAAATTTTCTGTGGAAGAAGTACCAGAGGTGAGAAAGCTGAATGTATAGGCAGAAGATGGTGCCAGCATCAAATAGTTTAAATAGTATTGCTGTACTTAGGATTCTAGTGAATCTCTTAGGAACATGTCTAGGTAGTGAGAGTTGGTTCTCCAAAGTTAATTATGTGGGACATAAAGAGAAAGAATGATCATTCCAATTGTTAAAAAAAAAAAAAAGAAAAAAAAAATCCATCAGTTCTCTGTAATGCTGGGTAGAAAGCACAGGAAGAAACATTATGTGCATAACACTGAAATTTCCAGGCAGTTCTAATTTGCACAGCCAGCAGTTACATGGAGATTTACTAAGTTTTTTTCACAGGTCACAAGGGTCACACAATTAATTGACCTGACTCATATGACATTTGCTGGGTTTATGACAACTATATCTTTTTTTTTCCCACCCAGTCCTCTTTTTGCCTGAGCTCCAACAAGTTTTAAGGCTGGGTTATGTTCTTCATTGTTAGGAGATGTTTGAAGAGAAGTAATGGAAAAAAAAAATCCACCAAAATGACTTAATTAGATCAGGGGAGAAGAAAATAGATCTAAGGTACATCATCCTCCCTTTAGAACACCCTTTTGCCTTTAAAGAACTTTTTTAGAAACTTAAGGCACTTTTAGTACTCTGGAGTGATGAGCTAAAAGGCACTTTTCTGACGTAAATCGTTTGCTTCACTGTTGTAGCGTGTGGCTGGCAAGGAAGGAGGTGCTGCCCGTTCAGTGCTGGGAGAAGGGAAATCCCTGTCCCCTGAGCAAATGATCCTGCACGAGGCATGTTTTGGATTTCTCACCTTCTTGTGGCCTGCCTGCTGCAGAGGAGTGACGTGGGGTTGTGTGGAATTTAACAACTTCTGTAGGGAGCCCTCCACAATCCTATTCCTCATCATTTTGTTTAGTAAGACTGTCTCGTTGGCAGTTGTTAATAAGGTCTGGGATGGTTTGGGGTCTTTTTCCTGGCTTATTGCTCCCTTGATTTGTTTTTGGTTTTGGCCTTTTTTTTGCATTTTAAAGTATGTGACAGGATTGCTGTTTATAATGTGTATTAGCCAGGAGAATCTCAGAATTTTCTGAGGTCAGACTATCAGCATCCTTTTGTTTGCATATGCTGAGCTAGTACTTGGCAGCCTGTGTAGTAGCTCAGCCATTCTCTCAATTAACAGGTTGTTCTTTGTATTTGAAGTGATTGATGTGATTGAAGTGACTAGCATGTATATGCCTAAATAAATTACTCTAGGGAAGAGAGTGATCCAAATGGAGAAAACTAGATGGGTCCAAAGACAGTTTCTTGTCAGAACAATGGTGCATTCAAGAACATGGAAAGGACTCAAGTGAGAATAAAATATCAGAGCAGAAAAGGTCTGAGAAAGTACAATTTCACTCCTAAAACCTTTGTTAATGAAGATTCAAGGATGTAGTTTTTGTTCTGTTTCTCCAGAGGCAAAACCCCTGGTGTAGATACAGACATCCTGAGAAAAATATCAATTGCTGGCACAATAATTTATTTTTCTGTGACAACATTAGTTCAACCCTCCTGGATTTTGTCTTCCTGATTAACTCAAGAGCCAATAGAAAAAGGATTGTTTAAATGCTTAAATTAATTTTAATAATATTGGCAAATCACTCATCTCTAACTTTTTTTTTTTTAAGGCCTTATAGTCTACACAGATTTTTTTTCTTAAGAGCTGACGCTTCTACTTCTGTGGATCAGCAGTAGCCACCCTGAGTATTTTTGCAGGACTTCATTATTTGGCAACATGTTGGCATGACAGGAGAACCCTGTGTCTCTTTTAGAGTTCACCTGCTGGTTAAGATCCCCTTGCATGTCAGCACACGGAAGCAGTAGATTAATTGTTATTTATTCTTAACTTACATACTTACCCATACAGCCTAAAAATACAGGACAGCCCTGATTCTTTACATCTGTATACACATGGGGTTTGTTATTTTTTCCACAAGTGACACCCTGGACTTAATAAGACAATGGGAGGCCCCTGACTCACAGGTCTAAATGAAACTTCCAATCCAGGGTTTTGCCCTCGAATTACCTTTTATTTGCACACACTGCTATATCATTGTTTGACACTGGCTTTTGAATGCACGTATATTATGTAAAGCTGCTACATTGTTCTTGGTTTTGCTTTGCAGTACAGAATTGGACAGCTGTACATGATAAGCAAGCACAGCCATGAGCAGAGTGACCGAGGTGAAGGTGTGGAAGTGGTGCAGAACGAACCCTACGAAGATCCAAACCATGGCAATGGTCAGCTGACAGAAAAACGGGTCTATCTCAACAGGCAAGTGCAACAAAACTGCTTCTCTCAGCTTGGGCTGGAATGAAGAATTGCAAGGAATGCCCCTTCCAGGCAATAGGCTTTCTGTGGCACGTGTCCCCGTGAGTACATGCTGCTTCCTGGGAGCCACAGGAAAGAAGGAAGGTGGGATAGATCAGTGGCTTGAAATAGAGAGATCAGCTGTCATTTCTTCTAGGCTGTGTTTTCCAAGATAAGAAGTACAACGTGAAGTTAAGGATGGAACTTCTGTTTTTTCTTACCTCACAATAATGTCACAAAGGCAGTATCTCATTTTTTATGACAAGTTTTCCAAAATAAGAAGCACAACGTGAAGTTTAGGATGTACTGAAAATTGGAACTTCTGTTTTTTCTTACCTCACAATAATGTCACAAAGGCAGTATCTCATTTTTTATGACAAGAGATTTGCCTCAATAAAGTTAATTGGTATTATGAATGACCACTAGGCCTGTACAGTGATGACCTTCTGTACCAAAATAACAGACTTAAAGACATGATGGGAAAAAGTTGCTTTTGTTTCCCTGAAGTTCCATCATTTCTTAAAGTGAAATGTGTCTCTTCCTGTGATGAAATTATGCTGCTGAGGATCAATGCCTCCACACTCACAGGCCAGAGATGAATTTTTATATATATGTGCATGCGTGTGTGTCCTATGAAATATATTGTTCAATCTGTTCCCATTTTTACTGCTGCTGCTCTAATTGAATATCACTGCTTTTCTGAACTTCTTCTATTCCCCTGGGCCTGTTTTGTTTTATTAAACCTGTGCTCTGTGCCATTTCATACTGAGCATAGAAACACTGCAGCTATTGCCTCTACATTGCAAGTGACTCCTCCACTGCAAACCTGACATCTGTGACCATAACTCAGGCTAAATTGAATCAGCAGGCACGTTGCACGCACGCACACGCACACTGGAGTCCAATAATACATATCTTGCCAACATTTAATATTATTGTGATGGTAACTCTGTTCTCTCAAAGGCTAGAAAAAATTGGGAAAAATCAATAAATGTGTTTCTGTTAGAGAGCTCCCAGAAACTGGGGGGGTTTTAATGTTTCTGGATATTTCTTTCCTTCATGTTTAAAAGAGATATGGCTTTAGGCACTGAAAGGTATATGCAGAATTAACACTTTAGGGTAATTCAGAATAACCACAAGGACTGTGTCTTAGGAGGCATACTTGAAGACATACTTGGGAAGCTTGTATATTTACTCACTTTCCTGAGGAACAGGACTTGTTACACCAGCACAGTTCTCTCCATCATCTTCTTCCAGGATCCACCGCTCCAATAAACTTGCTAGCTTTGCTTCCATTCCCTTTGTTTTGCTCTGGACTATTCTCTCCTGAAGAAATAGGAGCTTACGTATTTCAGTGGTGGTTTCTTTGAAAGATTTGTGCATTATTTTAACTTATCTTTTCTCCCCTGCTAATACTTTCATTCTTGCAGAGGGTCTTCCTGCTTACCAGTGGCTGCAGCTGGACTGCCTTTCAGAAACACTTGCTCCTTATGTGCTGAAAGACTGGACTTCATCTGGGGAAGGAAAAAAATATATATTTTTTTAAAATAATTGATTCAAAGAGACCTGTGTTTCTAAAATAGAAATACTATGTTTTCTTCCTTTGAGAGGACCCTTGGAACATTCATGTGTGTCTCTGACTGTGACTTGTTGGCAACTCAGAGTGTAATAGGTGTTTTGCTCCTAAAAGCATTTGTTTTAGAGATATATCATGCCAGTGAAGACTGGCAGGAAGGTAAACAGACTTCTTTTGGTTATTGTTGGTTTTAGTATAAAATGAAGAGCTGTAAGTTAAGAAAGACATTATTAGCAATATTTTCTAGTGTCAATAAAAGCCTTAGTTATATTCAGACTTGTTTACTCCCTCTTCTCTCCTGCTGGAGCACTGTTTTCAGAAGCTGAAAGTCTGTACTCTCTGGTATTTATTATTCAGGCATCGGAGTAAAGTTTAGCAGGGGTGAGGGAGGGAACAGAGAGACAGTCATAAAGGCACTGACAGAGGCTGACAAAATAAAATATCTGATACAGTGAAGCCTATTATGCAGTATGTAAAATGCTGCTTAAAAAGCTACACAAGAAAGGTTTATGTAAAGAAAAGAATCTGGTTTTGAGCAGCATCATCAAAGAGCAAAAGTCAATGCACTTGACTCTGAATCTTTAGCTAATGTACTAACGTCTGCAATTTGCCTCTGGACAAATACAACATTTATGCATAGCTAGATCATGGTTAAATAAACCTTAATGATCCAAACTCTGTGTTTTCTTCAGAAATTTGCTAATACGGAAAGTTGATTTACTTTCTGCACAGTTATCTAAACATAACTGTTTCCAACATTTACACTTGGGTCACTGAGGTCTGAAAGCATCGACTTCAGTCGAGGTTCAGTCTCGGTCCGAGTGATCTGCTAGGCACATCACGAGGCTAACACAGTTTTAGCCCAGGCCCTGGAGGACAGTGGTGTTTGTGGTCCCCAAAGGTCTGCCTTCTGCTGAGTGCCTCCTGCTGCACCTTTGTTCCTGCCACCTTCAGTGATTAGTACTGATGTCATTAAGAAAGGTTCAAAAGATGAATTATCGCGAACTTGCCTTTTTAAAGTGTGTGTTTGTTCATCATGACTTTGGTACCTGTATGACCAGGTACTGGAAACAAGAGACACAAGATCTGTGGTAAAGAAAAAGCTCCCACTCTCCCACAGTATTATTAAATTACCCTTTAATGATCTTTTCATATCCTGTATCCATGAGTTTCATTTCTTATTCTCCTGCTGTTGTACCACCGTGTTGGTAAGTTCTCTTGACAGATCAAGCTCTGAGCTACGACATCAGTTCCATTACTTCTCTTTGCTTTTGTGATTTTACTTTTCCCATCAGCAAAATGGCATTAACACTACCTACCAGCCTCATAGAGGTGTTTTGAATGATTTGATAATTTTAATATAAAAGCTTCCTACTCAGGAGTTGGTGTTGGTGGTGTGGGGAAAACTGCATGCTAAGTGAGTTGAAAGTCAGGGTTTGTGTGCTGGCAGAGAATATGGAGGAAGAAGAAAGACTCTTTAAGAAGAAATAATGGAATTGGGATGGAAGTTGTATATTTACTCATGACCTCTTGTTGGAGAGTGCCTCCCTGTGGTTAAGGATACTGTGACACAGTCACACCTTCTATGGTCTAACCTGCTGAGTTCACCCATGACCAAGGATTTGAGGCCATAAATTGTTGAAACCTGCAACCTCAGCTTAAATCCAATCAGAGTTTATTGCCCTGGCACCATATTGCTCACTCTGAGAGGGGAGCAAACAGACTCGGTTTCATACATGCTTGCGGAGATAACTGCTGTGAAGTGTAGGTATGGCTGCATCCTCTGAAACACCCATCAAATTAGGAACTCTTTTGGAAGTGCCTTATTTTCTACAATACTCATAACATACTCTAATTTTATATTTTCTTCTTATTTTCAGCAAACTGCCTAGCTGGGCTAGAGCAGTAGTTCCCAAAATATTTTATGTTACAGAGAAGGCCTGGAATTATTATCCTTACACAATCACAGGTAAGGAATAAAGCAGAAATGATTATTGACTTGTCCTTTTTGAATAGTTCAGATTATCTTCAGAAGCTCCAGGTTATATATTCAGCCACAGATACCAAGTTTCTTTAACAACTGTTGAACTGCATATATTTTCCCTTCTCATATTGGCTGATAGCAGGAAATAAAGATTATAGACTATGGATAGGTAAAATCTGGAGTGTTTTATCGCTGCTGTTTCTTCCTTGCAAAGAAAACTTCAGGTGCTTAGATTCTGTGCTGACTTGTTCCCTTTATTGTCCCATAGATTTTAGTCAAATGTAAATCAGATTATCTGAGGCATTTTTTTTTAATTATTAATGTATGTTTACTGTAAGGATCTTGCATCATTGTTTTAATTCACATTTCTGTTTTTTTTTTTCTTTTCCCTCATCATCTTTTTTTTACAAATGGACAACTGGAAATCAGAATACACAGTAAGTTTTTTTTCTTTTTATTCTAAAAATAGGGTAATTATGTAAAATATAGTAGTGGAATCAAACTGATTCCTCCTTAATATAATTAATACATAATGCATTCAATAGTGGAACTTTATTTTAGCTATTCGTTTGAGAGATTTAAGATTAAATTTGAAGTGTTTCTGTGGGGATCCTATAAATTATTTACCTTATTTTTTTATCACTTCAAAATAATTTTATATATTTTTAGTCACTGACTGTAACAAAGAGAAGCTTCTATAAAACAGGGCAAGGCTTTTAAGGCTCCAGTTATTACGTGGAGACATGAGAACAGATTTTATTTTATTTATTGTTTTATTAACTTATAAAATGCTCATCTCTGGTATAGTATCTGGGAAACTGTCTGATCTGTAGACAAAATTAAACATAAGCTGGGCACAGTGCCCAGAAAAATCAACTATTCCCTCTAGCAGAGCTAAGGCAAAATATAGCACATAAATCATGAGAAAAATTGTTTTAAATACACTGGCCTCAGTCATACACAGTGAGTTTCCAGCAGCCTTTGGAATCTGAGGAGGAGATGGTGGGTGAGGAAGTTCCAGGTGAAGGGACCTTTCAGAAACACCTACTTTCATTTAGTTTGAACTTCCAACTGCAAATAAAACATAATCCACTTGTTTTTCTTAACTCTGCACTACTCAAAATGTTTGTGCAGATTTTAAACCCAGTAAAGCATACATAGAAGAAAATGATTTTGATGTGATAAATGTGAAAGAGGGAACACTAAAGGGATTTAAAGGCTCAGATCTGCAAGCTGGAGATTTAGAGTTGAAACCGTGATGATTAGGTTTGAAAATCCAAAGTACCAAACTGTGCTTTTCACCAGGTACTGTACATGCTCATTACATGTTCTGCTTTGTTTCATGTTTATAATTAATTAATTGTCAGAGGAAACCCAAATGTCCCTTAATGGACAGTAGGAATGAGGGGACAGATTCTCAGCTGTTGTTGTCAGAAGGTACCTTCAGCAGGGTCTATCACACTTTATTTTAATTAAGCGTTTAGCTTTTGATAGAATGTGGTATCTTGTTTTGATGTCTGTTACTTAAACTCTGTTGTATATTTTTTCTTTATCCAAAAGTCAATTTGAATTTTTAATATGATTTTTTTTTTCTTTAACTGAAAGGGACAAGTAGGAATGATTAAAGGTAGAGTAGCAGACAGAAACATATGTCTGAATCTGAAATGTGCAACACATTGCCAAAACCAAAGAGCAATGCCATGCTCACAGAGTTTGAATCAGGAGGTGATCTTTGTCTAATCTAATGAGACAACACCTAGAACCCATTTTGGTGAAGGTCTGTAGCAGGTGTACAGATACAGAGATCTTCAAGAGCATCAGCAAAAACGATTGCAGGATTGAAGAGCCTTGTAAAAAAAAATTAAATCAGTCTACAAATGTAGAAGGTAGGAAAAACAGTCACTAAGTGACAGCATAACTGCCTGTGGGAGCTGGGGACTAATTACTGTGGTGCCAGGAAACAGCCAGAAATATTGGAGTGAGATTAAGGAAACTGTACTTTAGACAAAAATCTAAAATATATTTGAATGGAGCTGATAGACTATGAAACTAGGGAAACAGCAAAAGTGCCTATGCCTCAAACTGTTGAATCTAGAACTAAAATGTTAAAGATACCACTGGGAATAATTCCTATCCTTGTCTGGAATATTTCTCTAAATTTTTATCTTCTGTTTTCATTAGAGAATTGTGAAAGAAAGAATAAATACACAGATGTTGCCCAAATATGTACGATAGCTTGGAAACCCTTTTCTTAAAGATAGTAAATTCCTTCCAAAGGATCTGTGGGACATCCTAAGAGTTAAACTGAGCCTCATTTTAAGGAAAACTGATTTTAAAGATTGGATAAATAAAGAATAATCTTACCAAGTCAAGTACATGATGCTATGAAGTATGTTCACACCTTACTTAACCTCATAAATTCCACTTGAAATAAAAAAAACAGGACCTTAAAGGCTCAGTAGTGTTATTTCAGTGTATGTTAGTGATTTGGAAGAGGATGTGAACAGCAGACTCAATCTTGCTGATAGCCTTAAGGTTTTTCAGCTGTAAAATATCAAGGCTGTTAAGAAATTGCATTCAAGGACATACACTAGCATTCAGAAATTCAGTGCAGAATCATTTCATCAATCTGGTTTTCCTGTGAAATCTTATGCATTTCATAAATATGACCTTCTTCAGGACATGAAATTAAGACATCTTCTACAAAGAAAAAAAATCCAGAATATTTTTCTCTGCAATGGTAGTATAAAAAGCCAAGAGTGATTCAATGCATGAAAACAGGATTGGAAATTAGTGCATCGTGATGTTAGTACTCTATAATCTGGGTCTAGTTATGATGGCATCTGCTTTAAGGAATATTTGTTAAGCAGCAAACCCCTAAATTTGACAGCAAACAGCAGGTCTACTACCAAGACTCATCAACAATGTTAATAATATGTAAAGCAAATGACACATTTAAGACACTGAGCTTAACAGAACTATTACACAAGTGATGCTTTTGTGGTGTGTAATATATGAAATATGTAATGTCAGGAGAGCATTTTAAAATGCTCACTGTGCTGTTTGTGGAGAAGGGCCTCATTAAAGCTGTAACACAAAAGATTTCCTGTCAGGAAGATGAGATGTGGGTAATGTCCCAAGAAATGCCATATCAAAGCCCCAGCTAATCCTTGCAGGCTTCCTGCT